TTTTCACAAAACATTATGATATAACATTACAATTAAATTTTTACAGATCTTACAATACTGGTTGTTGACATTGGCTTCTTTAACGCAGCAAGCCGCTAGAGTCGCTGCGGAAGGGGAATACCCAATAAAGATAATAAGATCACACGGGCGTTGAACCCTCGTCTAATCATGTGTATAGATAATAATTAAATTAATAAAATTATTTTGATTATTTTATATATGAATTTAGCACACATATAAAAAATAATGAAGACCCGATTGGCGTAATTGGGTAACCTCCTACTCTTGCACCAGAGGATGTGGAATCATTCCCCACTACTGGAGGTAGTATTGTGTGACGAACATAGCGTTTTTTTCAGTGTCTGGGTGTTTTTACATGTATAATATGCAAAATAAATACGAAAGAAATGTATGTTTAAGTATGTTTCTCAGTTATCTAGGACAAGTTCAAGCGTTGCTTAGTTAAGTCAAGTCCTAAATGTTTATTTATTTCAAATATTTTTTCATTAAAGCATAATAACGTAACACTAAAAAATTTGTTGACAAAACTGTGGCAAAATTGGCTAATTCCTGGAATCGTACCTACGGCTTCCGGATTGCGCGGCCAGACACTCTAACCACTAAGCTAAACGGTCACTAAGGTAAAGATCTTATCCACATTTGTTTTGTAGTTGTTCTTCTTCTTCCTTTGTTTTCGTTATGATTTTTGCATTATGTTCCATTTACTAGGTACGATTTAAACAATATAGGTTATGTTGATGATTCCCCCGATTGTAACGCCATCTAAATTTTCTTCATAAAAGCGCGCAAGCGTCTATTTGATTAAAGATATTTTGAATTTGAAAATTCTCTCAACGATGTAATCACTCTCTAATGTAGGAGTTTTTCTGGGTGGAATACCCGTATGTCAGGCCGTGCACTCTCGTATCCCCATTATGATTACCGTTTATTTATAGAGTGTTTTCAAATTATCATCTTGTTGCGAACACATTACTTGAACGATATAATTTGAGCACGCGCTCAGCGTGATCCAATTGTCTAGCTCTGCAACTTTAATTAAAATTGGCTGCACTTACAATCGCGCGACGCAAGCGTTAGCCAAGTCCGTAGTTCACGAATAATTCAACTCCACCAAAAGACTTTCAGTGGACGAAGGTAGAAGTAATGTGTTAGAAAGACTGACAATCGTAAAACCAAAGTTTGAATCACGCTGTAAGTGCTTTGGCTGGTTTATTACGACAAGCCATCTTCTTGACGTCAACCCTACTCGGGTGTTGCACCTAGGTCTCCTTACCTTCAACGTTGTTCCGACTCTTCCAACCAATCACCTTCTTGACGCCAACCCTCCTCGGAAAAAAACAGCCAGATACGGAACAATTGTCTGTCCACACAAATACTTGTCTGTTGGAATCGAACCCACGGCGCCGAAGCCAATAATTTAGCAATTGCGCAACCAAGTCAACTTATATATAAGAGATATGTTGTCTGGTTTCATTATATAGTGGTATGTAATCAATGATTGTAAGTAATTGAGAAGTATATAATCAAAGATTGTCGGCTGTGTGCTTTGAATATTTTGAAACTTTTTGGCGAAGTAAGTCCATTTGTGAAGATTGTCAGTGATTATAACAAAACGTAGAGTGGTTCATACAGAAAAATCATTTTCATGATTATTTTTTTTTCTTTAATCTTTTTAAACATTACCCTTGCTTTAGGATAACATTATCCTGTGTTGGAAGGAGGTTTTACAAACATAAATTTCACGGAGACAAGAACCCAGATGCGAAACGACTGTGGGTTGTCCCGTGTGGAAATCGAACCCACGACCCCCGACGCCGAAGCCAACACCTTGACAACTGCGCCGCGGTGTCCTCATTAGGATTATTTCTAATTTCTGTGCTTATGATATCAGACTAAGGTACAGTTGGCTATGGCGTCTGAGCGCGTCATCCAGAAGGGTTCAAATCTTAGAGCAGTAAAGTCTCCCATAAGTTACCTATAACACTGACATTGATAACTTGGAATTTATTATGACAATTGCTTCATATGGGACATGATTTTCTTTTCATGGTATTCGGCTAATGCGTCAAATTTTAGTTATAAAAGGTACATTGAATTTTAAACTACGGATTGGCATGCCCACTCCGATCTAAATACGAGGGGGATGCTTGGGATAAACGGAGGTAGGTCATTATAAAGAAATTCAACACTCAAAAACTTAAGAGACGATAAGTTTAAAACTTTAAGTGCCTTTTTAATGAACTAATCAATTTGCCGTCATGCAGGCTACTTAGGCAGTAACACATAATGATGACACATGAAATAAATTGTTGGTTTCTTTTCCTATTTACGGTCCACTGCTGGAAAAATCACCATTCAGATACAAAAACTGGTATAGTTTTGTTTATTAAATTTAGGCTGTTTCAAACACTTATGAACATAACACATCTGTACAAGGTGTTATGGTGTACAGCCATTACCTGGGGTGAACAATGGCACCGATTCAAAATATTGTCAAATTTTGTTAGAGGTTAGATAGGTGAGGTTACATTGGTTAGATTATCAAGATTTGATTATATTAAGTATTATTTTAAAAGTAAATCAGATACATGTCTTCGATATCAGCTTCCACGCGCTCTTTTTCTCACCTCTGAGCACGTGATGAATCAGCAATTTACAATTTCGCTGCGAATTCAGCGTCAGAAAAGTAAACTAGTTACTTAGACTCTTTATCAACATTTCAGCGTAGCTTTTAATATATGTATTTTAATTGCGCCCCTTCAGCTTTAGCCATTTCTTTAATTTAAATAAAATACTCGCTGAATTTCTGAACACTTACCTACTAATTATTTTGACAGTAACGACAGTCAAAGCTGTATTAATTAGACATTAAGTCATCGATCAAGGAATTTTTCCTGTGAAATAATTACAACTATTGACAATCAAGACAAAATGTTATATAATAAAATTCACCTGTATTTTTCTGAGCTTATAAAAGAGATTTTGGGTTCACCGTCCACTTTTCTTATATCGTCTTATAAAAATACACTTATCGCTGGTAGAGCCAAGTATCGGTGGTAGAGCCACACAGCAGCCTCGGCTGTTGCACGAATGGGCAGGCCCGTCCGGGTAAGTACCACGATCTCACAGACGACCGGCGTACAGTGGAAGTATGACAAATACTTTCGCGTTTCGTCTGGTGAGTGAGGTGGCCGGAGCCCAATTTCCAAAAAGGTTGTCAACGCATTTGCAAACCCTCGGGTGTAGCAAATGTCCATGGGCGGCGGTATTCACTTAACATCAGGTGAACCGCCTGCTCGTTTGGCAACTTTTCACATAAAAAAATATCATTAGGTGAACCTAATGGTGGATGACTGATTATTCATCGATCAGACGATATGCAATTTGGAAGCCATGATTATGATATATGTATTAATATTACATATGATAGCTCGGTATGATATCTGTGACGTTATCAATATATGTCATAGCGTCAGTGATACAGGTCTCTACAAAAACACTTATGAGGCATCATTAGTAAGTTGATATGTGCGCTTTTCGATTCACTATTCATTGTTTGCGGCGATGCGTTTCGTATGTTAATAAGTTCCATTGATTTATCACAAGTGCTAACAATGATGAGACATTCCGCGTTGTTTTACACGCAAAGCATCCGAGTTAGCTCGCCAACTCTATTTCCGTCACAAAGCATATACGCATAATATTCAAATCTATTGAACCCTTATAAATATCGCCTTAATAATTAGAACTTATTAATCCAGTCATGCATTCAAATTCGTCTATACATTTTTCACGTACAAAAAAAAAACTTTTGATGACTCCGTGGCGCAGTTGCCAAGGTATTGGCTTCGAGGTCGGGGGTCGTGGGTTCGATCCCCACACGGGACAACTATTTGTATGACCCACAGATAGTTGTTTCGGATCTGGGTTTGTCCACGTGAAATGTATGTTTGTTGCTCGTCCTTACAACACAGGACAATATTATCCTAAAGTAAAGGCAATGTTTAGAAAATACTAGTATTGTACCATTCATAACAGTGGCTGACCATCACACTATAACTGACCTACTCGTATAAGAGAAAGCGGGTAAAAATCATAAAACACATACAACACTGCTGCACTTGATTCACGTTAATAAGAAACTTATAAAAGAGGAATGCTGATTAATGTATAAATACGAATGGATAAGGTCATCAGAACAGGTCATATGACAAAGGACCGTGATGTGACGTCGTGAGCTTTGACAGACTCTGGCAGTAATTAACGCGAGCAGAGATGAGAGAGCAACTGTTTATCTGAATAAATGAAAGTGAGCGAATCACTTATTTTAATCGAATAATATTGGAACATCAAGAGTTTAAACACGTTTAAATGTCGATTTTGAGTAAAATTATTTTTTTAACATAATCTGATAAGTGTCTGCTTTACAAGACTTCGGTTGAAACACCGAGCCTTAACCGACAATAAAAAAAGAATGAAAAAATCGAAACAATACTACATAGTAATAAGCCATTATTATTGACAATAAAATATTAAATAGTAAAATATCTACTCAATTTCGAAACTATATCGAAGAAACTATATTAAGGCTATATCGTCACCGTAATTAAGTCGCCATTATCATTAAACTTAGTCGCTAATTATGGCTCTAAGGATTTCATTAACGCCCTACCGCAATAAGTCAGAAGCAAACGGGGCACCGGTAAACTCGGGCGCGCGAAATCGCAACGCACAGCCCTAGCTCGATCACGGGCTCTAGATACGCGCATGAGCGGACCGCGCGGTGTTTACTATCTGTACGTATTCCGTGAGAATAGGCTCAGTCCGCACGCCGCTGTCCGTAGCGCGGCCGCGCGCCGCAGGCGACTTTAAAAAATCACGTTCCCGCTCGCGTTTAAAAAAAAAACAAGTTCCCGCGCACCGCACAGATTAAACGCGAGTGTTTTTTTTTTTTCCCCGGTGAAACGTCAACGCACCAAATGTCGGCCAGGATGAGGCGCAACGTCAAGATACTGTTCCTAGTCGGCGTGGCGTGGTTTTTCGCGCTGTTTTACTTCATGCAGACGGATTCGGCGCAGGCGAAGGTAAGCGGGCGATAGAGCCGGGCTGTTTATCGCGCGATCAGCTGTTGGTTTAGGGACCGCTGCAATCTGGCTGCACTGCGCATGACCCGCGCTACCCACGCGCTCCGATAACTGCCGGGGTTACGTCTCTGATAATCGGTCAGTTTACTATTTTTTTCTTTATTTATGGCAAATGGCCTATCAAACAATGTGCCAGTTGCAAGTTAAAAACGAAGGATATCAATTTTTTCTTTTTATACGTGTCAATATTATAGCTGTACATGTTTTTTTTTAATGGAAAAGCCAAGTATAGGTCGCCAGGATGCGTGTTTAATATTTTCTCGTTCTTGAACCATTATGTTAATATAATGGTGTTGTATACGCATATATTTCTAACTTGATTTGCAAGACGACTATAATTGATCTTTGAATCGTGTATTTAAAAAATACAAAATAACGTTTTTTGGTTACGTGTTGATACTAAAATCATCTTTAAAGCTATTATGTATTGTTTTTTTATGTGAGAAAGTGGCAAACGAGCTGGCGGTACCTGATGTTAAGTGATAACCGCCTGCCCATGGACATTTGCAACACCCTTAGGGTTGCAGATGGATTGCAAACTCTTAATAATGTGGGCCCCTTCGTTTCGTCTGGTCACTCACCAGACGAAACGAAGAAGTGCAACACTTGTACTTTACGCCGGTCTTCGGTGAGGTCGTGGTATTAACCCGGACGGACCTGCCCATTAGTGCAACAGCGAACACTGTTGCGTGGTCCTACCACCCTTAATTACGTTCTTGTAAATACGCGCACCAAATATTGGAAATTATGCTAAGAATTTTCATGAGTTTTGATATAACGAAATGAAATATAATTAAAATTTCAAGAGAAAAGAAGAAAATGATAAACAATGCAAACTTAATTACACAATCAAGCTCCCATTAATAAAATAGAATAATTAGAAAAGCGTGATAAATTAATGTTTAACAATTAAATAATGGAACCGTACAGGTAGAATCATATCGTTTACTTTCATTTTAAATTTATTGTTCATAAGAATAAAATTATTTCATTTTTAATATCGGAGATATGATAATAAAACTATGTCAAAAACAATATAGCTTTTCTCATTATGTGTATCTTGATTCATATATTTGTTTAATTTATTAAAATAACGTGCATAAGAGAAAACCAACAAAACTTGAATAATAGCAATTAATTAAAAAAATAATAGGACAGTAACGTTAGACGTAGAATTAAGAAAACATATACAATTATGAATAAAGAATTAGAAGAAAAGGGTTTAGAAATTTGCCTTTGACTATAATAATTAAACATTAAAATTTAAGCTTTCGTAATTTTCACGATTACGAAAAGAAGTAACTTTTTTATGTGTTCTACGGAATACTTATAACTCATAGAGTATGGTGTGTATAAAAATTTATCACATACTATATGGGGTTGCCATAACATCACATTTCCTTTCACTGTCCTCTGTCAGTCGTCATCCAATACTCACCCCTTTCACAGACATATCATTCTTCAGACAGTTCACCCAAATCTTTCATACACATATTTACTTTCTTTATTTCTATTTGGCGTTTTCACGCCGGTCTTAATAGGGAGTTACGTTATTTACGTTACGTTATTTATAAAAAAGTGAAAGTGTATGTTGTGTCTATTTTTTCCACCTTGGCCTGCATTACTAGCGGCTAATATGAGAGCACTCTGTAAACGCTATTCTTACGGAATGATATTACGCGATTGCGACCGCAGCGAAGGGAAGTGCGGGGCTATTTTATTCCTTTTTCTTTCTTTACCTTTGCCAATGGATTTTTCTTTTCAAATAGATTTACTGGAGAAACATATTAAATCGCGCAAACCTAGCTTTGGATAGATCAGATTTTAGCAAAACGACATTGCATCTTGACATTACGAGATGGGAACTATGCTGCATACAGCTTTTATGATCTCGGATCGTTTTTGACTGGCTTAGACTTTGAAAAATTCTTATTGCTTTGGGTCTCCCGTTTGATGTCACGTGGTCACAAATTTATTTCATTGGTATTGCACCTGAGGCTTCGGGGATACATCAGTGAGTAAGTAAAATATGTGTAGTTGGTTTTGTTTTTTATTAATAAAAATCTTTTACTTGTTCCGATATCGCGTGCGCCATGTACGAGTATTTTCGCAAAAACTGCATGAAACAAATTTCCATAACGAAACAGATAAAGTATATTTTGTAAAGTTTAACGTTATAAAAAAACTTTTTTGGATTTTTATTCCAGAGTTAAACGAAGACGGATAAGTTCTGTCTGTTCCTATTTTATTCTTCTAGTTCTTTCGCGATTAGTTTGAAGTGTCCTAACCAGACTGCAATAAGAAAATTGTATACTTAATCGTATATATCTACAGATTATAGTCTATAGTTGTATAAGTATACACTTTTATAGACAGCTGTAAAAGTGATTTTTGGGCGGTGTCACATCGACAAACGCGGTCCACATGACCCGTAATAATGTGAAAAAGGGCTCGCGTTTCTGTTCTACTTCTTAATGTTGATTGCTGATCACGTTCCTGTCCCACTTTCTTCTTCTAAAGCTGATTGTTGCTAGGGAAAGAAAATCTTCATGATTTATTACAAGAGTCTTATTTCAACGCACATGCCATGGAATTACTTTAGTTTGCGGTTTCAATTAACTCTGATCATTTTAGTAGAAGATTTGCGTTATAAACTATTAAGATTTTACACACACACGTAATAAAGCGACGTTAGCGATTGATGGCGAAATTAATGGGTTTAAAGTCATAAAACAAATATCTTCGCTAATAGCTGCGCGGATTAACTTTCGAATATTTAAAATAACAATCATATTGAAGGCTGAATACACTGATACAAAGATCGTTGTAAGATGACGTCAAGGGCAAATATTAGAGACCGACTCGTACTTGGCCGGTTTTTTAACCAATAAACCGTGTCGTGTTTTTGATGACTCTTTTTGAGTATGGTTCATTGTCGAATTCGCTGTACATAAGGCTATGAATTGACTTACGCAGGTGATAAAATGGCGTTTAAGCAGTCAAAATATGGATTAATGAAAGAAACATAAACTTCACGCGGACAAACACCCAGATGTGAAAGTACTATTTGTGGGTCACACAAATAGTTGTCCCGTGTAGGGATCGAAGCCACAACCGCCGACGCCGAAGCCAACACCTTGGCAACTGCGCCACGGAGTCATCTAATTATATATTTGTAAAGAGGTGAAAAAGGCAAAAGAGCTGTGAAACAATACGATGCCATTGTCGTGTGTATGTATGAAACCACGCGAAACACTAGGTCGATGGTGCGGAGCCAGTTAAATCGATGAATTGCGCATGTATAATAAAATCCCACTGTAGATGTTAAGTCTGCCACTTGATGAATTTAAACGAAAAATTAAAGTAAGCTTATGGCTAAAGCCTATTATACTATTGCCGAATATCTTGACGACGCCAATGGATGGGGTTAGTACTGTTGATACTCACGTAGGCTAAAACAAGACTATTGTACCTGCACTATTATATTGTAAACAATTTTTTTTAAAAAGAGCAACTGTTGAGTTTCTTGCCGGTTTCTTCTCAACAGAAACTGCTTTCCGAACCGGCGGTAACTTACGAACGTGTTAATTTCTTTGTAAAATTTTGTCGTTTCATAAGAACGCGCAAGCGTCTATGTGAATTTATTATTATATTTATTATATTGCAGAACCCCTCCTAGACTTGCGAAACACGCGGACATCGGCCGGACGAAGCGAATTTATCCCATAAATCGCTTAATTAGGACCTGCGGCGGGTTGATCTTTCGCAGTTCATTACTGTTCAATACATCCGCCATCTGCACCGTTTGATTGGTCTCATTGACATGAATACCGTACATATTAACCGTGGAGCCAGGCAGCAGTCGTCACTGTTGCAGGAATGGGCAGCTCCGTCTGGGAAGTACGACCTAACAGACGACCGGCGTGGAGTGGAAGTGTTATACTTCTGCGTTTCGTCTGGTGAGTGGTAACCGGAGGCCACTTTATTGAAAGGTGGCAACGCATCTGCAACCGTACGGATTTCGCGAATGTCCATGGACGGCGGTTATCACTTAACATCAGGTGAACCGTCAGCTCGCTTGGCACCTTCTCGAATGAAAAGCTTTTATATTTCAATTATGTTAACGTCAGGGTAATGCGGTTACTATACAGAGATATACACACAAAGCTAAAGAAACAATATCCTAGTGGATATTAATGAACAAAAATTGCACCTGCGTGGAGGCCAGGCAGATGTGAATCCTCGAAATTATTTTGTACATATAATGTGCTAAAAGGATAGTTTATGAACGGAAATAAACATATGACATAATCAAAAATAAAAAATTAAGATTATATTAAAAGAAAACGATGGTTGTTTATTTAATAAACATTTATATTGATTTAATAATGAAAAATCAAAAAAAAATCTTTGTTTCTTATCGCTTGCGTATGGCCACCCGGTCACCACGCCGTATTAAACGTTGCATACTATCATATACCATAACGACGGAACATAGCGTCGCCACGCCCTCAATCGGTCTGAAATGATCCCATTAGATGGTTCACATAAAAAATCTTACCTTGTTCTCGTTCTCAACATATCTCAATTCAATTACTTAATATAAGACATCCCTTCTAAGATGTTGAGGTGTAAACGGTGAAAGGGAGTACGCCGATTAATAAGCATAAAGTGTAAAAGGCTGTAAATTATATATGTTTTTAGGCTTATGGTTTTACGATCGAGCTGAGATATTAAGTAAGGCATAATGTATCCTGCCTTTTCACTTTTATTCCGTCTATATCAAAGGTACCCGGGGTCGTGAAATCCTTAGATACTCCACCAGATTAAGAGCGCAAAAATGTAACAAAGTATTTTTTTTACGAGAGATGATAACAAAAGTGGCAAAAGATGGCAAAATGTGGCTGGCGAAGATCATCCGAACGTGATCGTCGACACCC